CGGGCTCTAGGTCAGGCAGGAGAGGGTGGAGCCGCAGCCAGGGTTCCACCTACAGCCCACGAAGCAGCCGCTGGTGGGGGGAGTACCATCCTTTGTTGAAGGCGCCAGGTGGGGGGTACCTTTGGGCAGCCTGGTCCAGAGCTGAGAATCCAGGTCTGCGGGTTGGCTGCCCAGGGGGGAAACCAAGTGATTAGTGCGTCCAAATGGTGGGGGCTGAGAGATTGTCAAAGCCTGGCTGGGAGCTGGTCGACATGGATTCTGGGCTGGTCCCGCGCGAGAGAAGGGACTCTAGCCCTCCCAGGAGTGGTCCCCAACATCCCCGAGCACCCCTTCTCTGACTCTGGTCTTGGGGCTCCTCAGGAGAAGGGGCACCACAACTTCAGGCAGCGTAATTCGTCTGAAAGGAAACATGGGGAAAAGAGGTAGCTGCGAACCGGCAAGCCACCCCGCCTCCCCTCCCCCCACTTTGGGATGCAGCCAGATCCTGGGCCAGGTTCAGGACAGGAGCCAGGGTGCTGGGTCCTTGGCCGAGGGGGGCGGGCAGGTCATCAATGCATCTTGCCGAGCTGGATCTTCTTCCAGGCTTCGGAGGCTGTGAAGATACACGAGTCCAGGATGCCGGCGACGGTGAAGGTCCCGCCAATGATGGCACAGATCTAAAAGCGGGGAGGTCAGAGGTCAGCGCTGGGGGGCCTGCCAAGCCAGCCTCCTTCCCAGTCACCGACGATGAGCTCAGCAAGCGCGGCCGCTCTGCCCATCACACGGGAATCAATGGGTCTGGAGCACATTCAGGACTCCAAAAAACCCGCTTGTTGGATAATGAATTTAATAAAGATAAAAGCAAACAGCAGCAGCTCCTTAAATTCCCATTTTAACCTTCAGAATGAAGAAAGGGATGATATGACCCACCTCACAGGCGAGGAAACCAAGGCTTAGTCAGGTAACTAAGTTTGCACCGTAAGCAACAGCACTGTGACTTGAACCCAGGTATGTCTGGACCCTGGGGCCTGTGGTCTTAACTTCTCTAATTTATCAGATATTTACAATCCCATCCGCAGAGAAAGGAATGGAGGAGGTTCAGAAAAGTGGCACCATTGGCCCAAGGTCACAGAGCCAGCCAGTGGCAATCCTGGGACTTGAATCTGTGCCTGACAGGTCTGGGAGCAGTGCAGCCTGTGGCAGGTCTGGGTGGGCTGAAGAGGCGGCAGGGCCCTGGATGGACTGGAGCAAGAAACACATCTCAGAAGCTTCTGCACTACCCGCGGGACGGCAGTCATCAAATAGCCATTCCGATCGATCAACGCAAAATGACAACCGGGCAAGTGCTCGAGGAGAGAAGGGCTGGTGCTGCTACCAGGACGCTGCTATGAGGCGCGGTTGCTTAGGGCACTGTTTACTTTCGGGACCAGGTAGTTCCCTGTGGGGTCCTGTGCACTGAAGGACGTCTGGCGGCATCCCGGGCCTCTACCCATGAGATGCTGGTAGTGTCCTCTCCCTGTTGTGACAACCAAAATGTCTCGAAACATTGTCAGATGTCCCCTGGAGGTCAAAATTGCTCAGGATTAAGAATTGCTGTCTTCGGGGGGTGATAATGAATGTCACTTGTATGTCTGTACTCTGTAGCTTCCCGCCACATAATAACCACAACGAAACAGACACGCTTACACGGCGCCTTCCCTGGGCCCCGCACGGTCAGGGCGCTTCCTGCCTCCCACCGTGGAATCCCCAGGCATACCTCCTTCACAGCCAAGGAAACTGAGGCACGGAGACACCGAATCTCTCGTCTAAAGCCACAGTAATTAGGGGCCGAACGGGGGTATAAAGCTTCGTGGAGTCTGCGCTCCAAACACCACACTACTGCTGCTCGGGCACGAAATGCCCACCCTGCGGACTCCTCGCTTGGCTATGAAGCTGTTGGAGCTCCACTTGAGATGTATCTGACTCACGCCATGTGTGACTCAAAACTTTCTGACCCGCCTATGAGTTGCCTTCTGGTGCCATAAGATAATCAAGTATGAACGATGAAGAAAAGAATTCATGGAAGGTTTGCAAGGGAACTTTAAATGTATCTTCCCCTTGGGCACATACTTGACGCCGTTCATAAGGACCAATACCACCCACCACCCCGTATACCTGGGAGGGAGGCTCCTCTTCACTCATGTACCCCTGTGGCCCAAGGTCACACAGCAAGTGTGTGGCAGGGCCAAGTCTGTCTGCCTCCAGAGCTCTCACTTGTTCCCCCAGGCTGGGCAGCCCCAGAGGGGCTGAGACTGCCTTGAAGGCACCACCGGGGGCTGGCCAGCTACGACACTCGACCACTGGAGGAATCTGGGAGAGGGCAGTGCCTTAATGGACCCTCCGGTGCCAAGTGGAGAAGGCCAGAAGGCACAGCGGAGGCGAGAGGGAAGTGCGAATCGAACCAGCATTTATTTTTAAAATGATATTTCTACGAGATGAGCTCAGCAGAGGCCTGTGAGGCCCAGGGCAGACAGAGCGGGTCTGTGAGGATGGGCTGTGAGTGGAGCAGCTGGCATTCCAGTAAGAACAGCGCCAGAAACCGGAGCAGCCCCCAGGGAGCGGAGAGGCTGGGGGCGCTGGGGGGATTACTGTGAAGTGTTTTCAGTGGGCAAGGCCTTTCCCTGCCAGCCTCAGAGCATGACGAAGGGGCACTTTTCGAGGAAGATGACGCCAGGGGAGCTGGGTTATTTCAGTAGAGTGGATCAGATGATGGGAGATTTTATACCACAAAATGCTTTTAGAGCTTGGATCGGAGGATAGGAAAATGTGACTTAAGTGCAATGGAGCAAATAATAAAAAAATAAAAAATAACCACACACACAAATCTATATTCATCTGCACACCCTGGAGCCCGAGGGCGCCCATGATTCACATACGCCTGGCGCCCGGTCTGAGGCCCCTTTCACCGGGCTGGCCCCGAGCAGGAGACAACGCAAGTATTGAGGTGCACAAGAGAACACAGCTGTGGGGAAACTGAGGCCCTGGGAGCATGGAAGCTGCTAAGTAACTGCAGTGAGCCCTGTGTGGACCCACTGACACCACCCAGCTCTGCCGAATGTCCCCTGCTGTCCTATATCTGCTGAGGTGCTGGTCACTGGTCAACTGAGGACGGGAAAGTCTGCCACTGTTTTTTCTTTCAAAGCTGAAAGAAATCTAACAGCCGCCCGACGCTGCCACGGCCCCTGCTGTCCTCGAGTTGTGGGCAGGGGTCCTGGGGGGCTCTCAGGCCATGGCAACCCTGGGTGCGGACATCTGGGTGGTCACAGGAGCCCCCAGCACCAGGTTACCATGTCTGGACTCATCCAAGGAGGTGGTCGGTCACGGTCAGCTGTCGTCCTGAGGTCACGGGGAAGTAAATGTGGCTTCGAGGCTGCACCGGATGGTCTGTTTGGCCTTGGACTCAGGCCCTGCACTGGCAATGGCAAGACAACAGGCTTCCTCTGTGGCTCCTTTGCTGATGGG